CGAAAGAGAAAATAGAGTAATCCAACCCTTTTTCTTCGTTCTTTTCTAAAGCCGATGGAAACTTTTAAACATTTGATTACATGGCAACCTCCACAAACAGTTCAGAGACTAGTTGAAGCGTTTACTGTTCTAATATTTGCCTTGATATTTATCACATGCATAATAATTGAGATCGTTGGTGCTATAAAACAGATGATCAACACACTAAAAGTGTACAAGGAACTGATTCGAAAGCGTAAGGTAAATGTATGTTTGTTATTTCATTAAAAAAGCATTTTCGGGCGGAAATCTATCTTTAGGTTCGAAAGTGGGTCAAATCCTTTTTCTCCTTTAAGATGAATGAGTTTATACCCGTAACGATAAATGTTTTGAGCGTTTGTAACACTTTTTGAATGAGTGAATTTTGTGGTAATTCAATCGCTGCTACTTTCAATCACAGAAAAAGAAACCAAAAGACAAAATGTAATCAGTGGTTTTGTATCCTAAAGAGATACTCACCGTCATCAGCAGCAGGACGTTTTTTTCGTTTCAAAAATACTACACCGGGTGGAATTAAAATTTTTAATACAGTTGTCAAGCCACCAATGAGCCCAATAATCGTTGTCACCATATAACCAATGTCACCTTGTTTATTGTAAGTATAGACACATTTATCTGGATTACACTGCGAATAGTAGTCTCCAAATTCAGCGTGATCATTCCATTCTTCAGTCATTAACTGTTCAACAATCTTCTGAATGCTCGTTGTTACATTGAATTGAGTTTTTGATACAGTGTATGTCATTGCTGTATGGGCTGTAGGAGCATTCGAATGTTGATTGAAATATTCATTCAACGTAGTAACAACCTAGCCGAAAACCCGGCACGGTGAAAACAACTTTTTGATTGAAATTTGTAAAAGCAATAATACTGCTAGCTTGGTTACATAAAACTGGAGCAATTTTACAGGAACACTGAAAATGAGCATTTTCACCATTAGGGTTAAGTATGGTAGGATAGAAATTTTGATTTAGTGAATCATTAGTTGTTGTAAATTGATAATTTGTTGATTCAGCAGAAAACAGTGCGTTGAAAATAGAAAGTTTGCGTCTGAAATCAGTCAGGATTTCCGCGTTTAAGATGATTGCCGTTTGGAAACGTCTTATTTGCAGAGTAAATACTAAAGAGCCAAGCGATACTTTTATGTTCAACTCAAGCTTCTAGGTTATGTGAAAAGATAATGATATTTCCGCCTGATTTGACGGTCGAATTGGATAAACAAGCTGGAACAGTCCGGAAAATCACTCAGGATATGGTAGAAAGTCATAATCATTTAAGAACTAAACCTGATCCAAGTCAAAAATTAGGGCACTCATTAATTAAGATCAAAAGAAAAAACGTGAAAAACGCAGAATCTCTCTGAGTTAGACCTCGAAGCGTAAAGGAGATGAAGAACTTCTGCTGTGGTTTTGTTACTATAATTCTGGCAGAATCTGGTGCAATTCCACCAGAACTCAACCAGAATCAACTATATTCTCTTTCACAGTGAGATGCTCTCTACGAACTGGCAGATTCTGCTCAATTCTGCTGTGATTCTGGCAGAATCTGGTGCAATTCTACCAGAACTCAACCAGAATCAACTATATTCTCTTTCACAGTGAGATGCTCTCTACGAACTGGCAGATTCTGCTCAATTCTGCTGTGATTCTGGCAGAATCTGGTGCAATTCTACCAGAACTCAACCA